ACGTGGCCCTCGGAACCTGGCCCGGCCAGCCCGGGCGCCCGGACCACCCGGCTCCTGGTCTCCCTGGGGTCTGGAGAGGGTGGACTGTGGCTGTCTGAGCACACACGGCTTCTCTGTGCTGGCCTGGGTGGCACTCTGGGTCACTTTGAGCCCTGGCCTCCCTGAGCCAGGACCCTTCTCTTCCCCAAACAAGCTCCTCACACTTGCTGCCCTGGCAGACCCCTCCTCTGGGAGCCTGCCCCGGGCCCTCCAGCCTGCCCCTTCTGGCCAAGAGCGCTCAGCTCTCTGGCCTGCCCGTTGACATCCGGCTGCAGCCTGGGCGTGCGGGGGTGGGGCTCTGCCTGCAGCTCTGCACTGGCAGTCTGGTTCCTAGAAGGCCCTGATTCCAGCCGTCCCGTGTGTGGTCACTGACCCTCTGGTCCATAGCCGTGGTGCCCTGGCCCACGTGGCCCAGCCCAGCTCTCCTGGGCCTGGCTCTGGGGGGTCAGGGGAGGCCCCAGGCTTTGTGCAGATGGAGGTGCTCGGGGGAGCCGTGGCCCTTCCTCCTTCCTGCAGACGCTGGGCCCTCCAGCCCCAGCCCACGGCATCTGGCCAGGGACAGGGCCCTGTGGGGCACTGGCTGGTGACCCCTTGTTGCCCGGGGTGGGTGGTGGTGGTGGGGACCGGGGGCAGCAGGGACGCGGAGAGGGCGCCGGCCACTCACCTGGACCCTCCGGGGCAGAAACCCTCGCAGAAGGAGACCGTGACGGCGGCCTGGGTGACGCAGCCCCCGTGCTGCAGGACCATCGCGCCGACTTGGACCTGGCAGGAGTCTGGGCAGAGGAAAGGTGGTGGAGGCGGGTCTCTGAGGACCCCGACCCGCACCCCCCCCACCTCCCCCCCCCCCCCGCTCAGAGTGGGGCTCTGGGGCTGGGCAGCTCCTGGAGGGGTCGGTGGACGGAGACTGGGTGGCACTGGGGGCCAGGAGGGTGGGCCTCAACTTACCCACTTCCTCACAGGAGTAGCAGCAACCGGTTTTCTTGAGGACGCCCTGCGGACAGAGGGAGGGGGTCAGAGGGCGGGCTGGGTGGGCGGGGCCTCGGGTAGTGGGTGGGGCCTTCTGATGGCGGGCGTGGCCTCCAGGGCGGGGTCTCCAGGGCGGGGAGCAGGCCAGGCCGACACACCCTGCAGGTGGACACGTCCTGGCAAGCGACAGGTGTCGGGGTCAGCAAAGGGGGCCCGTTCGTGGCCTGGCAGTGGTACTCCGTGCAGTTGTCCACGAGGCTGTTGACCCAGGTCTCGTTGGGCTGAAATCAGGGGGAGAGGAGGGGCCAGGTTGAGGATTATCTGGTGGGCAGAGAGGAGCTGGAGGAGAGGGTCTCTGGAGGGAGAGGGGAGCCTGAGACTGAGCCCCCCTTACCTGGACCAGCTGGCCATCGGGTGTGAAGCAAGCTGTCTGCACGCACTCCCCGCAGCACTGCCCATCTACCCTCGAGTGCTTGAAGCCCTGGGGGACAGAGGGGTGGTCACATCCCACACCCCCAGCCTAGCTCCTCCGCCCTCCTGCTCCCGCCTACACCCCAGGGGCCCTGAGCCTCCCTCAAAGCCCCTTTCCTCGGTGAGGCCGTGTCCTTGCCAAATGCTACAGGAGCAGAAGCTGCCCGCCTACTGTCCCTGCCCAGCCTCACCCCTGCCTCGAGCACCTCTCTCCCTGCCCTCCTGGAGCCTGCCTGCAGCAGCCTACAGGTGCTGCCCGGCACCTGGGACCCCTCCACCATCCTCCTGCTTCACTCTCTCCCTTTGGGAAAAAACCAGACCCCGGTGAAGGCTGAGCTGGAGAGCTCTCCTGGAGCCCAGGTGCTGGTGACTGGGGGCTGCCCGGGGACCCTGGGTCTGCCCAGGGGGGCGGCCTCACCTGCGGGCAGGTGCTGTTGCAGGTGACATCTTCACACTGCACAGTCGGACCCTGGGTGTCCCTGAGCAGGCAGGTGCATTTCTGGCAGGAAGTGGGCGATGGGACGGCTGCTCCGACCTACAGTGGACAGGGTTAGGGGGGCACTGAGGGCCGTCCCCGTGTCTGGTGAGGCCTGCAGAGCCGTTCCTTTCTTCTTCACGTGGACTTAGGGACGTGCCCCCTGGCGGAGCACAGGCCTGGGCCGGCAGCGGGCGGTGGGAGGGCGCGGTCCC